AATCTATTATTGAGTATAATTACTGATTATATTCTTTTAATAATTTAAAAGATCAGTTTAGTTTAGAGGTATCGGTATGGATATCGATATCGGCGATACTGGGCTTGAAAATATCGGTATCGGATCGAAAATAAAATAAGAGATATCGCCCATCCCTACCGTCTTTGCATCTCCCGTGAACATACTGAAAACGGGGCAACCTGTCAAAATAAAAGTCCCTTAAAAAAACCTCCGTTACACACGTAAAGCTTGTGCTAAAAATTAGTTTCTTATCAGTTTGCATCAGTAATATGTAGCTTAGAAATAATAATTAGTATTGATCCAGATCAGGGCGCCAGAGCATGTCATGGGAGGCCTTTTCTCAATGCATTGCATGAAATACAGACTGAAAGGCGGCTCACCAAACCCGCTGCAAGAGCGTACATTACGCAAACTATCTCTAAGTTGTATAAAGCAAATCAGTGTTGCGCTAATAAAGTACTGATGGATGACTATAGTTAGGCCTATCAAGGTAAGACCATAACGGTGACATGCGGGAGTCTTACCTTAGCCATGCCAGAGTCAGGTAATTATTATTAAAGGGATAGTTCACCCAAAAATGAAAATTCTGTCATTATTTACTCACCCTCATGTCCTTCTAAACCCGTAAGACCTTCGTTCATCTTCGGAACACAAATTAAGATATTTTTGATGGAATCTGAGAGCTCTCTGACCCTCCCATAGACAGCAAGGGTCCTTGCACGATCAAGGTCCAGAAATGTAGCAAGGACATCGGTAAAATAATCCATGTGACATCAGGGGTTCAACCGTAATTTTACGAAGCTACCAGAATACTTTTTGAGCGCAAAAGAAAAAAAACTCCTCCACATCACCCTACTGCCATTTTGGAGAGTATCCACTGAACGTAAATTGCTTATGCTGTTTTGTGTCAGCTGTGCCACGCGGATACGTTGTTTTCGTTCAAATCAAAGCGTAAACGACGTAAACAGTGTATCTGCCTGGCACAGCTGACACAAAACAGCATATGCAATTTACCTTCAGTGATACTCTCCAAAATGGATTAAACGAATTGTTGAATAAAGTCGTAATTTTTTTTTTCTTTTGCGCACAAAAAGTATACTCGTAGCTCGTAGCTGGGCCTTGATCGTGTAAGGACCCTTATAAGGGAGGGTCAGAGAGCTCTCAGATACCATCAAAAATATCTTAATTTGTGTTCCGAAGATGAACGGAGGTCTTACGGGTTTGGAACAACATGAGGGTAATTAATGACAAAATTTTCATTTTTGGGTGAACTATCCCTTTAATCCCATTGGTGCACTGATCGCTATAACATCTATTTTTGCATAAACGCATTTCAATACAATCACATAGTTGTCAAAATTGGTGTCCTGTGAGTGTTTTATAATGGATGCTGGTTAACTGCTGTAATTTCAGTCTCCTTCAAAATCATTTTAATCTATTAAGGTTGCTCAGATGTGCAATGGTCTGGTCCAGGGGCCCGTTCTTCGTACCTCGCTTAATACATCTGAGATTATTTGAAAGATGCCAGATCTTGTAAACGTGATAACTGATCTCTGGCTAATTTGGTTCTTCAAACGAATTTGCGGATTTGATTAAAATATCTGGATTAAGTTGTCTAAGATTACTGCGCGTTCTCGTGTTCCCCGTAAAGGGCAGATGTGTCGATACTCGAAACCACGATCAGCAATGCAGCGATTGGCTGGCGGCAAGACAGCAGCGTTATGACATCATATAGTTAAAAAAGACACCTGACGAAAAACTTGACAAATTTCTGGACTTTT